TGTATAAACATTGTTTAAATTTTACAATTACATGTAGGATTTGAAAAAAATGAATTTTACAATGCTAGAAAATTTTAGATTAAAAAAAATACAATGCTAGAAAAATTTTAGATTTAAAAAAGAATGAATTTATACAATGCTAGAAAAATTTTTGGATTCATAAATATAAATACATAATATATACAAATACATACATTAAATATATACATAACACAGCAATATCTCACTGACAATCTTAACACGACTCACAAGAATGACACATCTACAAAGAAAACAAACACTGAGTGAGAATGAATAACTTGATTGACTCTAAAATTTTCTAGCATTGTATAAATTCATTCTTTATTTTAAATTTATTTATTTAGAAATCGATTAACGGTCACTAATCACCACACACTTTTTTTAAATTTAAAATTTTCTAGCATTGTATAAATTCATTTTTTTAATTCAGAAAATTTTCTAGCATTGTATAAATTCAATTTTATTAATCCAGAAAATTTTCTAGCATTGTATAAATTCATTCTTTTTTTAATCTAAAATTTTCCAGCATTGTATAATTCTTTTTTAATCTAAATTTGTTTAGCATTAATTTTCCAGCATTATATAATTTTTTTTTAATCTAAAATTTTGTAGCATTGTATACATTCATGTTTTATCTTCTTTCTAAAATTTTATAGCATTACATAATTTTTTTTTAATCTATAATTTTCTAGCATTGTATAAATTTATTTTTTTAATCCAAAATTTTCTAGCATTGTGTAAATTCATTCTTGTTTTAAATCTAAAATTTTCTAGCATTGTATAATTTTCTTGTTAATCTAAAATTTTCCAGCATTGTATAATTTTTTTAAATCTAAAATTTTGTAGCATTGTATAAATTCATTCTTTTTTTTTTAAATTATTCAGAAATCGTGAGATGCGGTCTGGTGTGATGTAGGTTTCAGAAGGTTTCACAATTACACAGAAGACAAACTCTTTGAGCCCTGAAGATGATCTCAATAAAGATCAAAACGTTGGCACGATAAAGAAAATGTTTTTCTGAAACCTTTTTCTGAAATCACCACACACCTTTTTTTAAATCTAAAATTTTCTAGCATTGTATAATTTTCTTTTTAATCTAAAATTTTCTAGCATTGTATAAATTCATTTTTTTTTTCACATCCTTCATTTATATGTAAAATTTAAACAATATTTATAAATCCCAGGCCCTGAAGATAATCTCAATAAAGTTCGAAACGTTGGCATGATAAAGAAAATGCTTTTCTGAAACCTACCTCACACCAGACCGCATCTCACGATTTCCGAATAATAGAAAAAAAAATTGAGATTTATTTCTGGACCTAATTTTGGAAGTTCTTGGCATCCACTTCCTCTCGACCTAGGTCCATACATATTGAACAATTTAAGCCACGCCGAAAGAGGTTTTTTAAGGCAGCAGGAACATTTTTGTTGAGCTCATTAGTAGACATGCTTATTAATGGTAAAAAAATTACTTCACTATTTTATCCTTAAACCCGGATCTTTTGTCGACAAAATGGGATTAGTTGGATCACATACATGATGGACGATAGATTATAACTGTATTGACTAAGTGTCTGTTTTTTTATCCTTTTAGTTTTGTTTGCTGAAGGTTTGGTCATATATATTTGTCATATATTTAATTATTAAGTATATCATCTTAACTTTCAATCCGGGACATTTATATCATTAGTACTGATGAACGTTTTATTTTTGTTTTTTTACAGTTTACAGTTTGATTTTAGAGTTTAACAGATCTCTTTCGCCTAAGCCTAAATTTTTTATTTTGACCTTTTTTATAAATGAAGAAAGAGAGATCAACTGTATTGCATTTCGATACTTTCCAGCCAGCCCAAGTATGGGTAAAACGGGTGGCGTTTGCTCTGTTAGAACCTGATTTCTTTTAATAAGGAAACTAGCTTCTCGGAAGCTCTACTGTCTCGTTCTCTCCAATTCGTCCTTATTGATTCCTCATGGAACCTAGATCTAGGGGGGAAAATTAGCTCTTCCTGATTAAACCGATGAGTGCTTTACCCTCGACTCTCAGTCCGTGGAGAAAAAGACATGAGGATTTTAAAATAAAGTCGTTATCCTAAATAATGAAATTTATTTAAACAACAAACATTTTTGGCATTCAGAATTTTATTACATAATCAGTTTATGTAATCATGGCAAAGCTGATTTCCAAACGTCGAACATCTTTATTGGCCATTTTATATTTTTATTTTGGTAGTTACCGACCATTTAGGGTTTTCGCGTTTTGCCATTTCGCTATCTACAGCTAATGGATTAGGGTTATAAGCAAGGTGAGGCAATAATAATCGATGTATCACCGATCCGTGGTTATAAATTTATTAATTTCAATTTTTGGAAAAATCATAGGAAGATTTCTCTACAGACAAATCCATCAATCAAGGTCATCCTGTTGTGGACAAAAAATACTGCTTTGTGGAGATTTTCTCGATTTGGAATTTTCATCTGGTTCAAGGTTTACCGTGGAAACGTATGAGCTTTTCTTTACACAATTTCTAATGTTCAAATCCTAACTGCTGATAGGTACTGTAGTTTTGGAATGGATATCTGAATATCTTCCCGTCCTGTGCATAGGATGCTGAAGTTGTACTAGGTAGCGTCCTGTGTCGGTTGTTATATGCTGTATACCTGCCGATATCCTTTCTCTTTCTGATCCTACGGTTCTCTTATATGCTGATCAAATCTCGTCATAACTCACCTTTATTCCTTAAAGCAGTGGCTTTAACTGAAACGACCGAACCTCTGGTTTTTCAACCAGGAGACATCTTGACAAATTCTTACAATTTAACAAAGCTAGCCTAGGTAATTGCTGTTAATATTATGTACAGACCTTTCACTGAAGATGGCGAGAAGATTAATGTGCACGACCGGCTGAACTTAAAGGATGGCCAAATCGAAATGCTCGGAAACGACCAAAATACAGGTTCATCATCCGGCAGACCTCTAGGGGTTTAACAAATTTAACCAGGCTAAGTTACTCTTGGCAAAATATATACACTCTTACCACTGAAGATGACGAGAAGTCGTAACGCATCGCATAGGCCAAAATATGTGGTGGGCATAATATTCTCGAAGTATGTCGGGTTGGAATGGGGCCACCGACGACCTCCAACTCTGCTATTACTGTTTTCAAAGTATGTAAAGACCTACTGAAGGTGGCGAGATCTGGCACTAAAATAGCGAGGATGGGGAGACAAAACGCACGGAAACAACCAAACTACACGCTCATTTACCCTCATCTCAAGTTACTGTTGACAAAATATGTACACTCCTATCACTGAAGATGACGAGAAGTCGTAACGCGTCGCATAGGCCAAAATATGTATGGTGGGCATAATAAAATGCTCGGAAACGACCAAATTACAGGTTCATCACCTAGCAGACCTTTGGAGGAAAAGTTACTCTTTACAAATTTATCCAGGCTAAGTTACTGTTGACAAAATATGCACACTCTTATCACTGAAGATGACGTGAAGTCGTAACTGCGTCGCATAGGCCAAAATATGTAGGTGGGTATAATAAAATTTTCCGAAACCGCCCAAACTATAAGTGCTTCATTTTACAAATGGACGCATTGCCGCAATTTAATAAAGTATGCAAAGAACTACCACTGAAGATGGCGAGATCTGGCTGACCATAAAAACGAGGATGGGCAGAAAAGCGCACGGAAACAATCAAACTAAGGGTTTAAGAAGCAAATATAAATATATACAGACCTAATATTTTAGATGGCGAGAAAAATATTGCTAAGTACAGTTCATCAGATCATTCTATTTAGTATGAAGTATCTTTGTACTAAACTTGAAAGAGTTCAACTAAATGCATAAATCTATTAAGTTTCGTGGTCCGATTGACCAAATAAATTATTTTCAATTAATTAAGGTTTTGGTTGAGATAAAAAGTCAATGTCACGAGCGGGATTCGAACCCACGACCTTTGGCTAAATACGCCGCTGCTGCACCACTGGAGCTATCGTGACTTCGATCCACTCGTACACCAACTTCCCATCTCATCCCCACCTTTTTCAATTTTGAATCATTGAAAAACGGCAAAAAGGAGGGAAAATTGAAAAAGGGGGGTTGAGATGGGAGATTGGTGTCTGAGTGGATCGAAGCCACGATCTCAAGTGGTTGAACAGCGGCGTATTTAGCCGAAGGTCGTGGGTTCGAATCCCGCTCGTGACATTGACTTTTTTATCTCAACCAAAACCTTAATTAAAGATTAATGAATTGAAAATAAATGCATAAATAATGAAAATGTATGCCACTAATAATATGCCTCAACACCTCTACAGAATGCCAATGAATATGACGAGAAGCAGAAAGGAGTTTGAAATGCGGAAAATGCAAGGATGAGCATACAAAAATGTTCAGAAACGAACTAACGAAAAGAAACTACCGGTTTGTCATCTCTCATACTTATAGTGCTTATAGTTTTCAATTAGTAACATCATCTCAATGAGAATGAGTTTTATAGTCGCGAGGTGGATTTTCAAATGTAAATTTTGGGCTTTCAAGATTGACGTTTGTTCACGTTGACATTGGCCATATGGCCCTGATTTTCGCACTTTGCCGAGTGTCGTACTTTGTACTTGGAATTCTTTGTAAAATGTCTATTGCAGTAGGAACATTGTTGTATATACTAATTGGAAACAGATTTTTCAAACGTAAAACCCCATCTGAGGTGGATTTTCCTTCGGTAATCTTTTCCAGATGGTCTTTTATCCCTCGTGAGCCCTACGGGACAATGGTGTGAAACCCGTTTTTCTAAAAGGGCAACGGTCCTCTTCCAAAGAGATTTAAAGATCGTCGCATTTCGAAAACCTTTGTACAAGGGGGTCCCACAAATTATTTAATGTTAAATCCATTCCAGGGATGAAAGTAGGAGGAGGCAGGTAGTGCAACAGGTAGTGGTGGGGATCCTCGGCCCCCAAAGCTGAAAAGCTCAGTCTCTTACCAGCGTTCGAGTTCGTCCAAACACGGGGATTCAAAATCAAATGGTAGTCCGCATACGGTTTTTGTGCTTTAAGTGTGTTTTATTGTATATGTGTTGTACATTTTGCCCTGGAATTGACTAAACAAGGTATTTATTGTAAAGGAATCAAAATTATCCTAATAAATCATACTTTTAGTATATTTTAGTGACATCAACTATTGATCATTTGTTGTTTGGTCGGTTTTGATGATTTTTGTCTACCTTTCCGCGATTTGATGCTTTTGACTGACAATTCGACGAGGATACAAGCCAAAACGATCGTAAACAACCAAACTTAGGTTCATCACCTCGCACACCTAAAAATATCTCATAATTTATTAAATACTTAATTTTAAATACAAAAACCACTTGTTTATCATATAAAATATCATTTACAAAACTAGAATATACACCATTCTTTTCATAAAAATAGACGCTTTATTAAACTCAGCTTAATCAACTCTTCAAAAAAAAAAAAAAAACGGTTTTACAGTTTCAAAATTTTTTCTCGAACAGAATTTAAGGTGATTTGGGTCCGCGTATTCCCGCTGTTTATCTGTGATTAGTTTTGAGCGTCGTCCGGTTGTGGGAGATCTCGAATCAGGTAGGGGTCTCGGGTGTTATCTACTACAATTTTTTTTTTATAAATCCTAGTTTTTGTTATTTAAATTTTTGAACTTCCACTGGTTTTGCAGACAAAATGGACTAACGAACCAAACTTCAGATTCTACTAGGCAGTTGATTATGATGATTATTGAAAAAAAAATACGGAAACTATTTTTAATTTACAAAAATTAATTCAATAAACCGCCAGTGTGGCGCCTGTTTTTGTAATTGTCTAAGTAGAATTGACTTTTTTTTTTCTTTTGGACCTTTAATGTTTAATTTGGGTAATGAATTTTCGATTGTCGACTCAATTTTTATGGAAGCTGATGATTACAGGAGACTTAAAGGTTTTAACATTGAGTAAAAATTGCCAAAAGTAAAATAGAACTAAACGTTTTGTTCTATATGCAGACTTTCTTCAAAAATAATTACCTATTTCTAACAGGTCACTTCTCATAAATGGGCTATCAAATCAGGTCTATGGCAAAAGACCGGTTTTACAAATTGTGTCTTAGCCTTATTTTAAACATAAATTATATGCCAAACATTACGATAATTTGTGTGTGTTATCAAGGGGTAATTAAAGATAACAAAAGGAAATTTTATGAAGCTGTGCTACTTGATCAAATATTTTTCATAGCTATAATTATTAATATAATATTACATATTAATTTTATGGCTAATAATTTATTAAAATTTTGACATCTTATTTGTCATAAATAAATTTAACCATCGAATCCTTGAAGTCTATGACGAAGGAACGACTTACATTTTGCCTAATCTCAATTTTAAAATTAAATCATGTTTTCGTTAAAGTAATTATTTTAATTTCTTTAAATTGCATCAACCATAGATTATGCGAGATATAAGCTAAAGAAATGAAAAGCAATTACAATTTTTTTTAATGAACTTATTCCTAAAACCTAAACAGTTTCTTTTTTGAAATAAATTATTTATTAAACAGTAATGAATTATATTTTTCGTTGACGGTATTTTGTCCTCGATACCGCTGGAAATTCATTGTAGAAAAGCTTTTCCAGTACGAACACCGTCGTCTTTCGTAATAGAAAACAGATTTTTCGACGTTATCTTTTCCGGATATCTCCTTACCCCTCGATAACCCTTTTTTAAATTATTTTTATTCTTATGTTATAAAATCATTATCTTTATAAATGTTGTGTTGTAACATCATAAGAGTGTGTGAGTAACATTATTCACTATAGGGGGAAATTGCGGGGCTTTTGGAGTCTTGGGATGACTGGGTTCGGGATGAAAGGTGTTGGACTAGGGAGTTGGATGTCTAGGGTTAGAAGGCGTCTGTATCGACTTATTGCTGTTTCAAGGTCAAATAGGATTTGGTAGTATGTGTGGTTCAAGGAGAGGAGAGATCTTGGGCAATGGTTCGAAAGATTTGGTCTAGAGCAACTGGATTCTTTGGAGGTTAGGTTCAATTCCGTATGTTTAGATTGGCTGTAATTTCTCGGTTACATTGTTAGGTTCGATCTATTGTCAAGTAGTTTTTGTGTAGTTAATCCTTTATGGCCCAATTTTGGCGTAGGGTGCAAGAAATTTGGTTAAAGGGTGGCGGGAATTCCCGTAAGAAATGTTTAAATGATCGATGTGTTTAAATTGGCGCCAAATATATCAGTGTTGCCAATACACAGGCAGAAATAGAGCACGGACAACACTGCGGCCGCCCTAAATCCACGGGATTTTCCTGCTAACCTTAAACAAAATTTCTAAATTTGGCATTGCTTTTAAGCAACTTTGGTAAAGAAAGGGTTAAATTATAAACAGGATATGAAAAATTTTATGATCGGCAAAGAAACAAAGGATGAAAGATGCAGTGGTTGGATGAGAGCCATGTTGGAGATAGAAGATTCTAATGTGGAACTTTTAGATTGGCGCAAAAAAAATCAGGGTTGCCAACGGGATGAAACATTTAGGAAAAACTTAGCACCTTCTTAAACTCATTGGATTAGCTAAGCTAATTTGATAAATTTGTTGTTGCCCCGTGGCAACGTTGGCATGAGGGGGCGTCGGTGGCCGCAAGGTTTATTCTTTGACACGGCGCTCACCACTGTAAGGTAAAGGACTCGGGTTCGAATCCAGCGGCCCTGCATTCGAACCCGACATACTTACAAATGGGCTTTTTTTTCAAAAACACCAACCACCTGAGGGTTTATATGATCTCTGCTGTTGCGAACGCTCGTTAAAAAAAAAAGACACGTTGGCATGAAAGGCATCAATAATTAATATCAATTCAATTCTATTCAATATTTCTTGAGTCGAATGTGGGATTCCAAGTAATTCTTTTTTCGATGTAAATTTCCAAATTTTTCTAAATTGAGAGAGAAGAACAGAATTCTAGTTGATTGTAGAAGAGGTGAAGGTTATTTCACTGAGTTTGATCCTATATTCTTCCAACCAGGTGACTTGGCCCTGGAAGTTTCTGAACGCCAGTCGAGGTTTGCTGTAAGATTGGCTGCATTGATCGGAATGTCTGCGATGCAAACTGAATACAGAATAGGACCAAGGGTGTTGCCTTGCGGAAACCCCCTTTGGTATATTGGCTGAGGGTGAAGGATGTTCGGATTCGTACTTGAAAGTGGGATTTTTCGATGAGGTTATAAGTATTTTTTCGGTGGGAACAACTATGATGTTAAACGATAAATAAAGGCAACTATGAATCTGTGTAGGTTTATTTTTTGATTATGAAACAGCGAAAACAAGCGGACTTAAGTGATAAAGGCCGATCAAACTGCCAGCTTTATCAAGTCCATTATCAGAATTGACAAGAGAAAAGGCCCTAGTTAAAATTTGATATACACAGACCTTTTATAGTCTTTTCTCAGAAATTTCCCCTTAGATGTTCTTTTCTGAAAAATGACATCAAATCCTTCCTATCTTGTTTGCGTGTGGCTTTATTTATTTCTGTGTGATTCCCGGTTTCAACATTGCAAACACGTTCCTTCCTTATCTGGAATTACAATTGCAAACATTATCTGGTAGATTAGATAGATTTGCAGGGGGTGTAGTGGCTAAGGATTTCTCTTGTAGCCCACTCCTGGCTCATTTCAGGTTTTTTGGCAGTCTTGTGTGCAGTAAGATGATCCAATAATTAAGATTAGTGGTTATAATTAAATTATAAAATTTATGAACGAAACCTGATGACAATGTATTTTAATCGTTTCCGATCTGTCAGGGAAGCTTCGACTTCTCGCCTGGTAGTTGGCCAGGCTAAAAGCAGGGCGAGTCAGTTCCGCCGGTTTATTTCCAGAGGGAAAATCTGAAACCCATCTGACAGACTAACAAGTTTACAAATTTCTTAATTAGTGTCTTTGTAAATAACAAATGTATCTCCTTCCTTGGCCAATATTTTTATATTGATAGACGTTGATTTAAATGGATTTTTATTGCTAATAGCATTTAATTATGCGAGTGAAAATCATAAAGCTATAAATTTGAAAAAACCTATGAAATATATTTTGAATAGTATTTAGTACTCGACATCTTTTGTGAATTTTCTTACGGTTTTGACTTTTTTTTAGGACAGGGAATGCTATGCTATTGCGATGGACACTGCCCAGGAGACGAGCAGAACGGCACTTGCCTCGCGAAGCCTGGGTCGCAGTGCTTCGCTTCTGTCACGGCCGTGTTCAACAAGGAAACAATGCAGTGGGAGCAGGAGAACTCCTACGGCTGTCTGCCACCGGACGAAAGAGGATTCATGCAGGTAAATAATTTTAACGCTGAAAGAAAAAAACCGAGCGAAAATGGCAGAATTTTACTATAAAATCGTAAATTCCTTGTCGATTCTTTGTATTTCATGAGACGTACAACCGAGACAAAATTGATAAATCGTTTCGATTTCGACACAGACAAGATTTTTTGAACTTAGCATATTCATAAGCAAACATAATAGTAAATGACATTTAGAAGAAAAAATAAGAGGAAAACGTTTGTAAGGATGGCGTCCCCTTTTCTACCTGTGACTGCACAGGTGTTCTTTTATTCTCGGGGCTTTGTCGAACAGTAAATGCATCTGTCTCGACCTAGGACCGAGATTATCAAGTCGAACAGGCTTTTGAACTTACGGCTGGAAATACAACTTAAAAAATATTAGAGACAACGTAGTCGAATATACCTTTTTTTTTCAAATTTCATCATAAAACTATAAATTTGTCAGAAAACCGAAAAGGGTTTGATTTTTTTGTAAACAAACTATTTCAAAATTGGTGGGTTAAAACACAAAATTGACAATTTGGTAAATCCGTCAAGATTTCCATGCTGCTTCAGACCTATTTTCACTCTTCTCGTATGAGCTAAAAGCTTTGAGTGCCCCCTGGCTGTCAGAGAGACTATCTTCCATATTGTATCTACTTAGGTATATAGTCAATTCTGTCTTGGGTTTACTCCTAGGACTCCTCATGTGCCATTACCAGTTTTTGAAGCAATGTACTAGAAATAATTAGCCTTAAATGTTTACTCTTCGGCTGTACATCCATTTAAGGACTTGCACTGCTTCAACAAACCCTTTTACTCTTTTCGATGTCCTCCACTTTCTGGAGCCATCTTAAACGTTTTCTTCACCCCGATGTCTCTCATAAGCCCTCCACAGAGTTCACCGACACCCATCCTATATAAAGAGACCTTTTACTAAACAGCCAAAACCCACTTCTGGTGCAGATTCTTTAGCTTCTCAGTTTTACTAATTCTCTACCTCCCGTTCTCTACACTAACCCTCAGAATCTTCCTCACCCGTTAGTTCAGCCTCATTTCTTCCGTAGCAGCCATGATCCCGTTCTCCGACCCATACAACACGACCTTGAAGACGGTTGTCATTGTAAATTGTAATTGCCATTCTGGTCGGACTCCTCACGGGACACTGCCACAAGAAGGCACATACACCGGATAGGAGTACAGACAGAAGAAACACTGTGCAGATACTGTCAGGGAGAGGAGGAGACCGCAGAACACATTTTATGTTTCTGCTAAGGTCTATGTAGGTGCAGGTTCTTGCAACTGTGACAAGAAAAACCACAAGCCAGATCCTACACCAAGGAACCGCCGGCAAAATTGTGGAGGCAGGTTAATAGCTTGAAGCTGGCCAGTGAGTTTTAATAGCACAATAGATCGATTTAGGTTGAGGTGCAGTAGGCCTTGTGGCCGCCTCTCTTATCCCTATCCCTGATGAGTGTAGCAATAGAAGATTAAGTAGTACTTTAGCGTTGTCCTCGTGCCTTCAGGAATATCACTTTATATACCTTCTCTCTCACTATCACTCCCTCTCTCTTTCTCTCTTTCAATTTTTTGCACGTATACAATTTCAGGAGTTTCGCAATCTAAGTCCTACTCTTGCGGTGCAAGTTAAGTAATATTTCCAAAGCTACAGTTTCCCTCATGGCACAAGGTATACCTTTGAGGCAACTTAGTACCTTGACCGCCTAAGTCTGTAGTTCTTAGTCCATCAAATTACTGACCCCACAAGAACAGTGCGTCTTTAGAAAGAATGCACATGTGTAACATGGAAATAAGAAAGTAGTCTATCTCATCAAAACGTTAGGAAATTTCAAGTTTTAAAAGTTGGTTTAAGGGTTATAGGATGCTTTGTTGGATAATTAATTTTTAATGAATCTCACATCGCTAAATAAAGATTAAATACTGCTGAATTTATAGGTTGTCTAAATCCTCGCTGCTTATCATCCTAATCATCATCATCTTTCCTCAGCGGTTTTCTTATCTGGCGTTTCAAACTACATAGTTAAAACGTCCAGAATTTATTTATTATAATAAATTTGTTCACTGGGCAACTCATTTAACTCATTGAATTTATAAGTTCGTTGGTATATTTTTAATGATTAATCTTGGGCACTGGGTCATTTATTGAGCCCGTCTAGACTCGCGGGTTTCGATGTCACTCGAATTTTACTGTTCTACATCTTCAGTGAGGAACCGTCTCATTAAATGCAAACAATTCAGGACTTTCATCAACATCTCATTAAAATAAATTTGCCGAGTGAAATCTACTTATTTCAAAGTGCAAAGCTGGCTCTCTTCTAATTTCCAATCTACGTATCGAAAATACACCATAATTACCGGTCGTTCGCTGTTCTATTTTTTTTTATGGTGAAAGTTCTTGCTTTTTTAAGTCCTTTGTATATTATTAGAACGAAGAAGAAGTAGAAGAAGCAATTAAAGTAAAAGTGCAATGAAGCTAAAGAGAAATTTTATTTTCATTTTATTTTTGTTTGCCTTCTTATTTTATATCAGGAAACTTGATTGTGCTTAGGAATTTTACCTTTGTTTATGCTTACTTATGCTAAGGACATGGAATCAACGATTTTAACGACTTTTGTTGGTGATACCCGGATTAAAGAAATTTCCTAGCGTTCTTGCCAATGGACTCCAGGAGCCGAAAAAAAATATTTTAAGCAATTTAATTTTTTTAAAATATAGTATTCTGCCTTTGTAGTGCATGTATTTCAAGTTGATATATATCAGTTTATTTATTGTTTAGTTATTATAATAAAATGATTTGCAGGATTGTATTAAATGAGATTAGATATGTTAAGAGTTACAAAATCAAAAAGAAGTAAAGAAAAAATATTTTTAACAACCAATTTTGATTCGTTTTAAGCATCTTTTAAAGCCCTTAAATACGTTTTTATTGCAAAAATAGACATTTTTAAGTTAGATTACCGGGTGAATTTTTGATCTAGTGTGTCCAGCGTTCTACTTAAAAATTCGTAACAACTCTGGATTTTGTCCAAATTTAAATTTATTAGAACCGTTAGAAAGCTGCATCTCTTTCCTTTAATCTTTCGGAACAAATTTTATTCGATTATGATTGAGAAAAATAACTATGAAATGAGCAAAAACTCCTAAAATGTTTTATTTTACGTTTAGCCCTGAATGATTACTGTAGATCGGTGGTGTTTCAAAGGTACCAAAATGTCTGCGATTTTCCAGAAAAACAATCGGAGAAAAATTTGTACTCAAGAGTTTTCTTAGGAGCAAAAACTGAATAATTTAATAGTTTCTTTCTTTAAACAATTTTTAAATTTTACGAAAACAAATAAATATTTTTTTAACCTGAAACAAGTCGCTATTCGTTTTCTGCAACCCCAAAATCCTCCAAATATAATTTTTTTATTTACGACACTGGATCAAAGTAGGGTCTTGAAGAAGAAAGCAAATTTAGTTGCTACGCCAAGCTTTATGTTGTGTTAAATTATTAAATATGCTTTTCATAATGTGACAGTAATATAGTTTCTTAGGATGACCTTAAAATAGGTCGAAAGTTATTAAGATATCGTGAGATGCAGCCTGGTGTGATGTAGGTTTCAAAAAAACATTTTCTTTATCTTGCCGACGTTTCGATCTTTATTGAGATCATCTTCAGGGCTCAAAGTGTTGTTGAAGGGGGCGCTCTCAACACGACATGCAAGAATGGCACACTTATGCAGAAAATAAGTACTTTGAGGCCTGAAGATGATTTCACTAAAGATCGAAACGTCGGCAGGATAAAGAAAATGTTTTTCTGAAACCTACATCACACCAGACGGCATCTCACGATATCTGAATAATTATCTACTAGCGGTCACTAATCACCACACATAGGTCGAAAGCTTGGCAGTAGAAACTAAATTTGCTTTCTTCTTCAAGACCATACCTTGATCCGGAGTGTTCGGGGATAATTTACCGTATTAATTATTTTAATTTATTATACTTTTTATCAAAGGTCTTGGTTGAGATAAAAAATTTAGTGATAACGGCGGGATTCTAACCCATAACCAGTGGTTACAGCAGGGGCGTATTGAGCCGAAGGTTGTGGGTTCGAATCCTGCTCGTGACACTAACTTTTTCGTCTCGACCAATACCTTAGATGAAAAGTATGATTACTAATTAAACTTTACAGGGCTTTATAACCGTATGAACTACACGCAATGGCGTACATACAATCAAAAATCCGTAACATAGAACGGGAAAAATAAAATAAAAGGTTTGAGGAGTTTTTGCCGATTTCATCCTTTTTTATTCTCATTTGTAATTTTAAAAACTTTAAGGCTTATTGACTAAGACTGAAAGAAGAGATATTAAGCTTTCTAATGACTGCAATAACATTAAATTTGGGCAAAATTCAAATGTGTTATGCATTTTTTTAAACTGGAACACTGGGCATTGGCGAGATAGAAAAATATTGCCTGCGACGAATCCAGCAAAAAATGTCTATTTTTTCAATTTTATACCTTTTGCCATATCTAATTTCATTTAATAAAATCCTTATATTATTTTGTTGTACTTCGTATAAAAAACAATTCGACAGATATATAATAATTTTGAAATACAGCGCAACAAAGACAGAGAATTTACAAAACGAAAAATGTGAAAGTTACATAAATTTTCCAGCTTCTAGGGTCACATTTTTGACATGTCGCTAAAAAATGTTTTATTATAATCGATGTTTCCACTTCCGTAGCCTTCCCTTGTTGGTTTTAACCAGAGAAAAACAAAATTCCAAGGCATGATTCACCATTGTCATTTTTGACGTTCTTTAACCCCAAAGGTCCCCAAATAATCTAAATTGCTTTAATAAAATGTGCAACCTCGTAGTTATTAAATCTGCGTATTATATCTTCAAAAGTATTTTTTTAAACGAAGTTGAATTCTTCTTCCTCAGGGCATAATGAGAGAAAAAAAATGGATTAAATATAGAAAACGAGTTAAATGTAA